TCACAGATTGACCCCCAAGAACTTGGACTCTATGAAGGCACAGCTTTCTCAGTTTCAGAGGGAAATGACCACGTTCAATGCTAAGCTGGCCAAGAAGAAGGACAGGGGCGCTTGAGAGGATGGTACAAGGCATAAGGAAAGGGATCACGATCAAGGGGAGGTGGATATGGAATTGTCGGGAGTGGTGCCATCATTGTAGACCTTGGGTGATCGTCCCACGGCTGGCCTGATAGTACGAGGAGTCGGAGAATGGGCGTGGGTGGTGAAGACCCTTGGAATGACAGTTAGTTGGGTTTGGGCGCAGAAGGAAGACTGGCTTCCCACTTGGTTAAAATCAGAATTGCCGGGAGTAGTTATGACGACTAATCGGAACCGGTTATCCACAGTAAATGTTATTCTATGTGAGCACAAACCCCCTAGCTGGTTGGCGGCCTGGGATCAAGCGAACTTGATCATGTCTACAATGGATGGTAGCTTTTTGAGGTCCAAGTGGTCTAAGAGGATCAAGATGACGCACAATGAGTTGGGAGGACTGACCACAGCTTCTGTGCACTTACAGGCCTACAGCTCAATCGGTCGAAAATGGATTCAACCGCCCCCATTGCAGACTCTTCCCACCACGGTTTATTCTGTGGCCAGTGACACAGTTGATATGGGTACTAAGGTATCAGGGCCAAAGGTTTCGATGTTGATGGGAAAATCGAGAGTCCAACGGATAGCTCCCAACACTTACCATGGGGGAGGCTTGTACCCATTGGATGGAAAGCCAGGAGTAAAGCCGTTTTTCATATTGAGATCGGTCTTGGTTAATGGATGGGTAAGGCGAAGGTTGACGACGGTGGAAGAATGGACAGTAAAGGATGCGCCAGTGAGAATAGTGAAGCTAGCTCAAGAGGCAGGGGAAGATATGAACCGGCTGTGGAAGTCATTAAGACCTGGGCGGTGTCTGGAACATGGATTACGCCATCTGCTATCAGGGATCGGTGTAACTGATAGGGATGGGCGGATTTCCAAGAAGTTACTCACCTTCGGACGTGCCGAAAAGGAACCCCCAACTGGAGTCTCGGTAAAGCGTGGGATTGCCGAAATTACGCGAAGCTTGAATGAAACTTCCTTGAGAAAGGAATCGAAAAAGCTGAAGCAAAAACGGATATCCGCATCGGAAAGAATCGGTGAGACGCGAGCTGAGTTGGAAGGGCCGGAAGATTGGGACTCGGAGGAAGAAGTGGATGTTAAGGCCACTAAGAGCGATGATGCAAAGGTGGATTTTTCCAAGTGGAACAAAGAAGTCATTTGTACGCTGAGATCTCCAGAGTTGCCAACAGTACATCCAGCGTTAGCTATCGTGACACGTTGGATGGAAGACCGAGCTCTAAATTCTTTTCGCAATTGGATGTTGAAGTGGTATAAGAGAAAGACCACGAAGGGGTACTTTGACTGGAAACGCAGAGGTCCAACAAAGAACCCAAAAGAAGGTTCGGTATGGTGGGACGTACATACGGGAGAGAATGGCGAGTCTGCTCTGAAACACCAAAGACATATTTGGACTGAGAATGGTCGCACTCTATATGAAGCGTGGTGGAGACAGAATTATGAGGAGGATCAAAAGGAAGCAGAAGCGGCTTGGGATGCTCTAAGTCGTCTCGCTGATACTACTTGGTGGGAATGGAAGGGCGGATCTAGATGCATGCATTGGAAGTGGCCGAGGTTTTACCAGAGTACAATACGCGATGGTCTCAAAGGACGTTTCAAGTACACACCCAAAGCCTGGACCCAACCTCAGCGGTCTGGGCAGAATCCTAAAGCTCACGGACTGATGAAGATCAAACTTCAGCTGGTTCGAGCAAAGCGGTACATCACGAAGGGATTCGTCAAGTCATTGACTTCATTCTTTGGAGTGGATAAAGGCCTGTTTGATATCAGAATGGTGTATGACGGTACCAAATCAGGACTAAACGATTCTCTGTGGGTGCCGGGATTTTCCCTGCCAACTGTTGATACAATGCTAAGGGCGGTCACGTACGATACTGTCATGAGCGATTTTGACATTGGAGATTGTTTCTTAAATTTCGTATTGCAAGAGACTCTCCAATCTTTGTGCGGAGTGGACCTCACTAATTACTTCGGAGAAGGTGATATCTTATGGGAACGCTGGGTTTGAGCCGCAATGGGATTGAAAAGTTCACCGTACCAAGCTGTGCAAGCTATCATGGTGGCAAAGGAGATCGCCTTGGGAGATAGGAAGGACCTGAAGAACGCATTTAGGTGGGACGAAGTCAAGTTGAACCTACCAGGTTCAAGTACGTATGACCCCAGCTTGCATTGGGTGTTCAAGATCCGGTGGTCTGATGGTAAAATTGCTGCGGATTTGTTCATCTATGTTGACGATGGCCGAGTTACATCATCCAATAAGTTGGAATGTAAGTAGGCAACTTGACAGGCGGCTAGTCGTTTGAATGGACTTGGTATTCAAGAGGCTGCGAGAAAACAAAGATGGGGATCACGAAACCCGGGAGCCTGGGCTGGATCCTTGGTAAAAACCACTGAGGATTCAGTAAGTGTGTTCGTGTCTCAAGAAAAATGGGACAAGACCAAGCTTCAGGTTAAGGAGATCGCGGAAGAACTTAGTGGGTCAACGTCGGGGTCTTTGAAGCACAAGGCGCTAGAGAGAAAGCGCGGTTTTCTATTCTATGTTACTCGAACCTACCCAACGATGGTTCCCTACTTGAAAGGAATACATCTGACCCTTGATGCTTGGAGACCAGGGCGAGATGATGAGGGATGGAAGTCTATTGGTTACAAGGGAGAGGCGCCAACTCCAAGTTCACAAGACGCCCCGGAATATGTGAAGGGAGTACCTAGACTGAAGGATGACTTGGCTGCTTTATCGGCTCTCACGGCCTCAGAGAGTCCCCCAATTCGGAGAGTACGCAGTAAGAGGGTGATGACGGTATTCTATGGGTTTGGAGACGCATCAGCGGTTGGATTCTGCAGCACGTTTCAGCGCTTCTCTAAGCAAGGAAGCGGCTTCATTGCGGAAGACAAAATACACTATCGGTATGGGCACTAGTGCACAACCAATAGCAAGGAATCGTCTAGTTACAGGGAGTTGCTGAATCTGGTGGAGTCTCTGGAAATGCGAGTACGAAATGGCAAATTGTATGGTGTGGAGATCTTTCTATTCACTGACAATTCTACTGCCGAAAGCGTGTTCTACAATGGGAACTCCTCATCCAAAAGATTATTTCATCTTATGGATAATGATTCAAGACCACAAGGGATAATGTTGTTCCAACTCAACAATACTGGTATCCACTTGGACAGTGGATCTACTTTTCATTTGCGAACCAATGAGGATGACTTTAAAGAAGGAACTTTACAAGGAATTGATGGAGGATTTCATTATACCTCTAATATAGAGGGAAGAAGACTTTATCAAGAAGGAATCGATAAGGTATTTGATTCTGTTTGTAAGCTTGATACACGAGCTAGCGACAACATCAACAGTTTGTCAAACATGGTAAAAGATGGATTTGATGTATTTATGGACACAAAGAGAGAGAACAGCTTTTTTGTGACCAGAAACGGGACTACATGGCGATTTGGACATCGCAATGGATTACATACTTTGGTTGACGAACCTGCTGTGGCAACAGCAATGTTCCATAATCATGCACGTGGACTTGACAATGCTGGAGTTGACCCACGTTTCGATATTGAAATCAAAAGACACAAAGGAATGGCATTCATCCTACAGCGTGATAGGATTAATATGGGAGAAGCGATGAATGAATATCACGGTTTATGGAAATGGACGAAATTTGCTCAATGGTGTTATGAATTGGCTAAAGACCGAAGATGGGATTTTGATGATTTAGAAATTCGCTTCGGTGGATTACCCAGTACATTCGTTCAAGAAGCAAAACAACGAGGTATTCGAAAAGATTTTCATGAATGGACGGATGGAAGAGGATTTATATATGATGAAGTTCCTGCTGGAATGGAACTAGATGAAATTCACATAGTACCTAATAATTTACATGATGATATGGAAGGGTACTGTGCTCTACAGAGTGTGGAGAAGAACAAAGAGGGTTTCACAAACAAACAAGTGAAACGAGCAAATGTTGCACAAAGTGGCTATCATATGATGGGAGCACCTGGTGCAGAACTATTCAAGTTGGCGATTTGGGGAAATTTTTTCAAAAATTGTCCAATTACGGAGGAAGATGTTAATATCTCTGAAAAGATATATGGACCGAGCATTTCAACAATTAAGGGCAAACAAAAGCGAACAACACCAAAGGCGGTGGTTGATGATTGGATTGAAATGCCCAAGGAACTCCTGAAACACAATTTGAACCTGGATTTATGCATCGACATTATGTTTATCAACAATGTCGTGTTTTTTGTCAGTATTGACAAAGCGATCAAATTCCGATTCTCTACTGAACTGAAAGATCGAACGAAAGATGCTATTTACAAGTCGATTGACGAAATTTTACGCATTTATAATCATGCAGAATTTCGAATCAAAACTATTTATTGCGACAACGAATTCAAACCGGTATTTGATGACGTGAAAGATAACATGGATGTGACCATGAATTATGCCGCGCCGGGCGAACACGAACCAACTATTGAGCGCAGTAATCAAACATTGAAAGGATTATTCCGAGCACACTATCATCAAATGGTGTTCAAGGCAATTCCTAAGGTTTTGACTATTGCTTTACTCAAGCATGTGACAAAGGTTATTAACTTTTATCCTGCAAAGGAGGGAATTTCGAAATATTACAGTCCACATATGATTGTGAGACAAAAACCGGTGGATTTTTCAAAAGAATGTGTTGCTGAAATTGGATCCTTTGTACAAGGATATGGTCATACAACCAACAACAGTCAACGATCAAGAACGATTGATGGTATTTATCTTGGAATGAATGACAGCATACAATCGGGACATATGTTACTTGATCTTAATACAAAAAAGACAGTAACAAGACCATATGTAACGTTACTTCCGATCACCAAACAAGTGATCAAAATTGTGGAACAAATGGCACACGACAAGGGCGTTTGTGATTTACGTACTTATCATTGGAAGAATGGTGAAATCATATTGGATGGTGATTTGCTCGCAGGAGTGGACCCAGATGAACTGTGGGATGACACATATATTCCACGCGAAAATGAATACAAACGAAGCAATGAGAATCTTCGTAATGAAAAGATTGATCAAGATGAAATTGATGTGAAAATCAAGTCAATGATGTTCGCGAATTTGTGGCGAATTTGGATGATAACGAAAATGAAAAAGATGAATCTGACGGTAATTCGGACAAATCAAGCGACGATGATAATTATGAAAATGATGAAGTGAATAAAGAGGACATACTCAGTCCAAGGAAAACCAGGAGTGGTAAATCTTATGTTCAAGATGGAATAAAAATGAGACCAACCGAACGTAATAATCGAGATCGATCAAGGTATAATCAACAATACCTAAATCAAAAGAAACCGAAGTGCAATTCGTTAAAGAACAGGAGTGCGATGAGAAAAAAGGAAAAAGTCAAGAAATTGAAAGGTTATTTGAATGAAATAATTTCAATGAAGGAAAATTCAAGGAAAAGGATTCCGAAAAAAGAGTCGAAATACAATCTACTATTCCAACAGGTTG